AATTTAGAGTTTGAATATTTGAAACTTCCTGACCAAGTTAAATCTACTAATCAACAGAGATGCATGCATTCCATAATCCGAAACCCAAAAAGCCTACTGCATAGTCTTGATTAAACAGAGAGGAGGGCAACACTTGAGACAAAAAAAAAAGGAAGGAGAGACAGAGAATGTGGGAGAAACCAAGAGATGAGAAATATTACCTTTTTTCGGTGAAAATCTCAAAGTTTTCTCTCTATCCTGATGCAAGATTCTTGCCTACACTTTCTCCCTCATGCTTTATTATCTAACCCTAAAAATTCATATCTGATTTAAAAGAAAAAGGAACTTTAAAAGTTAAAATAAAGAGCATACATGCATATCTTTGGAAGAGGAGCTAACCAGTGAAGTGGGTGTACCTTTGAGAAACTGATAAAAGAAGCCATGGGGAAATGATCAGAAGCAAGATGGTTGAGAAAAAAACAAAGAAAAATGCGGTGGCTGAAGACTAATAGATGGAAAGACAATATTGCCCTTAATTTGAAATTTATTGACATGAAGCAACCATGTCGAAAAAATTGCTCTTCTAATATATAATATAATAAACAATGAAAATAAGAAGCAAGAATTCTTGAAAATTGAAGTACAAGATTTTTTATTACTATCTCTCCAACAACGTCTGACATTTGGGATAATTCAACGTCTGCCTTCACACATCCCAGATTTGTCAGTTATAGATAATTCGAAATATAATTCGATTCAAGTTTTGATTTTGAAGAGAGAAGGAAACACAATTCACTATAGATGAATTAAGGTGAGTTTATAATGTTGGGAAAGCAGAGTGTGGCGGGAGAGGAGGGGATAAAATTGGGTTGGGTGGTTAGGTGCCACGTGCATCCACCTCATACAAATGTTAGGCCACGTAGGTTTGATGGTGGCCATGGTGGAGAGGTTAACAGCAGAAGGACAATTTTGATCTACTTTTATAACGTCAAAGGCATTATAGGACCGATAGTATAACGGATGGTAAATTTGATCCTTTTCAAATAGTATGGCGGCATATTTGAACCTTTTCCCTATAATATAGTATGAAGTATGATGGTTAGAAATTTAAATGTCACAACTCAATTTCCGCTGTAGATCATGATGGCGTCCAACGTCGTCGTTAAGCAAGCCAACGGTGAACTACCAACTTAATTAATTTACTTTTGAAATTTTAGAATTTAATTAAAGAAAGAAATTAATGCATTGGAAATCATGAATACATACAATATTAGTAAGACATAAAATAAAAGGGTGACAATATTAAGCAAAATCATAACCATTTACTGAAATTTCTCAAAACCCGATTTCACAAGTGCATGAGCATCTACTAGAAATACAATACTAATACAACTGTCTGAAATATAAAATAGACATGATAACATAAATGAATATGAAGGATACTTCGTGTGTTGCAGATCGCAACATAGAATGCGGCTCACCGTATAGTCCCCGCAATAGCTATGCTTTTGTGCCCAAATGACCACCAGGAACATATACTTGCATAATAAGTGTAGAAGTACACCATGAGTACGTAAAGCAACGCGCACCTAGCAAGTATCGAGCCTAACCCCGAAGAAGTAGTGATGAGGGGTCGACATCGACACTTACTAGTGGTCCAATGAATCAAGTACAGTAAAAAGTAGAAAAGCTTGAAGTATGGTAAGTAAACAATGAAAATAGATATAGATACATAATACGATGCTCAACTAAACAGTAAAAGCAAAGTCCTCGTATACCGGATAGTACCTCAAATGGAATATATAATGGTCAACACCAGGTAAAAGGTCACATCTCAAGTAAGGAAAACTCATGGGTATACTGACTTCTTATCAAACAGTATACACCATTATGCCGAGGCGAGGCAGCCGATCCCATAAGAGTGTTTCATAGAACTGCCGAGGCGAACGACCTAATCCCGTAAGAGTGTCTTACAACATCCCGCCGAGGCAAACGCCCGATCCCATAAGAGTGTATTGCAATGATTCTGCCGAGACAAACAGCCCGATCCCATAAGAGTACCGTTGAGGCGTTCAGCTCGATTCCATTAGAATATGAAACTTTAACGAGTCCTTGACCCCACTCACAAAAATTACGTGTGAGTTATGACTTTCAAGAAAACTTCCGTTGAATTCGCTCAACGTGGGAGAAATCCGTAAGGGAAGTGCAATTTTCACGGCTAATCAAGTAGCTCGTCAAGTATCTAAAATAGCACGTCCATTACTCTATGCGAGTCTAGTCCCAGATTATAGTGTGAATAAAAGCATTTAAACAAGCAAAAGTAACTCAAATAAAACAATTAAAGCATGACGTGAGTCTAAGTCTACTCGGACATAATCAGGAATTCTTGCCTACGCACGGACACTCGTCACCTGATACGTGCGTAACTCCCATAACATGTTGCACATAAGTAATATAACACGTACGAGGTAAATTCCCCCTCACAAGGTCAGACATTAGATTAGCTTCCTCTGAAGTTCCATAACCGGCTCCAACGCCTCTCTAACACCCCCAAACTGATGCTCATCGTTCCGAAACTAGTCAGATAACATGCAAACCAATAAAAATATACCCCAATACTCATAATTTTAACAAGGTATAATAATTCTCAACTCTGCTCGAAAAGTCAACAAAGTCAACCCACCGGGCCCACGTGCCTGAATTCTGAAAATTTTCAAAGTTAAACATTATCCATAACACCACGTACTTAAATATATAATTTATTTCTAATTCCATGTCCAATTTCGTGGTCAAAATCCAAAAATACTAATTCTAGATTTTTCTTCAAAATCTCACAATCTTTACCAATATTCATGTTCAAATCCATATATAATTCATGTATTTAACTTACAATGTGTAGAAACCACTTACTTTATGATGGATTATGAAAATGCTCCTTCAAGATCGCCCCAAAATCGGCTCCAATGGAAGACATGAGATAAAAATGATCCCAAGCTCGATTTGCATTCTTATACACTTCCCAGACATTGCCCTTCGCGATCACGGTCTAAAGACTCGCGATCGCGAAGAAAAACACAACTGCTGACCCAAAATAACCTACGCAATCGCGACCTTCCTCACGCGATCGTGATACACAACCAGCCTCACCAACGCAGCCCAACTCCAACCCTTCACGAACGTGTATAAACAAACGCTAAGACCCAGTCCAAGTACCTACGCGATCGCGTGTCCTCTCCCGTGAATGCGAAGTACAGCAGGTCCCCAGCTCCAGTTTACTCTTCGAGATGGCATGCCCCCATCCGTGATCGCGATTCACATGAAGCACACCAGAAATCAGTGATAAAACAAGGATAATTTGGCCGAAACCATCCCGAAACACATCCGAGGCCCCCCGTGACCCCGTCCAATCACACCAACAAGTCCCAATACCTTATCCAAACTTATCCAAGGGCTCGAAATGCCACGAATAACATCAAATCCACGAATCGACGATCAAAGCCTTCTATTAACTTTCAAACATTCAAACTTCGCCGAACGTGTCCGAATCACCTTTAAACATCCTGAAACGACGCCAAATTTTACGTATAAGTCACAAATCACAATACTAACATGTTCCAATGCTCGAAATCCCAAACAGACATCGATAACACCAAAGTCCACTTCAACTCAAACTTAGAAAATTCTAAAACCTTTAAAATGCCAACTTTTCATAATAAGCGCTGAAATGCTCCGGACCATCCAATACTCAATCCAAACATATGCTCAAGTCCAAAATCATCATACAAACCTATTGGAACCCTCAAATCCCGATCCGAGGTCGTTTACTCAAAAGCCAAACCTTGTCAACTCTTCCAACTTAAAGCTTCTGAATTGAAATCAACTCCGAACTTTCCGAAATTCAATTCCAACTTCACGTACAAGTCATAATACCTAAAGTGAAACTACTCAAGGCCTCAAACCACTGAACGGCGCGCTAGAACTCAAAAAACCGGTCAGGTCGTTACATTAAACTTAAAATTTCTAATTTAAACTTGCTCTAATTTGTTTTATCGCTCAAAATAGCAAAAAGTATCAAATGCATTAAGATGCATGATGTATTCCCTGATGTTATAGCTCTATTTATCAGTGTAAGAATATTAGGCTAATGTCAATTTTCCCGGCCCGGAATGAACGGAGACTAATGCCCTATGCGTCCAGGAAAAAGGGTTCTAAAGGAGCTTTTGGCAAAGTGAAAAATCCCCAATCACTCAAAGAAAAGAATCCTATACCCCACCACTTCCTTTATATCTTTCCTAACTGTTTCAAAAACATTCAAATCATTCATTGTCTCTTCATTCTTCTCTAACTAGCATCAGTTAGGAAGATTGTTTGGCAGCTCTGCAAATTAAGAAGTTTCGAAACGTAGCAACTGCAATGGCCAATGTTAGTACTTAGTACCTCAAAACCATTCGTATAGCAGGATTTTCAATCAAACTTTCAATCTTTTTATTATATCAATCAGTTCGAAATTTACTTTTCATTTGTGCACTAGGTAGTGGAGCTTAAAGTTGGTCTGCACTGTGACGAATGCATCAAGAAAATCTTGAAGGCAATCAAGAAAATTGAAGGTAAGACAAGCCCTTTCACATCTTCAAATTCCTAAAAATTTCTTCAACTACCACCAGAATATGTATTCTGAAATTCTATTAGTGAAAATCTGGAATTGGATGGTGTATGGCAGATATTGAAACATATGATGTGGATAAACAACTAAATAAGGTGACAGTAACTGGAAATGTGACTACTGAAGAGGTCATCAAAGTTCTTCACAAGATAGGGAAACAAGCCACCAACTGGGACCAACAATCAACTTACTAATCTCTAAGCCACTTCTTTATTAGACGATTATACCTCTCTATAGGTTCTCCTAGTTTGATCTTTATGTATCTTATTGCTCATTTGATGGAGATTTTGGAAGTAGTTTTACATTCTAAATCTCGATAGATCAACCAAAATTAAAATCTAATTTACTATTCACAATATTGGTTTTGTGCATCTATTTTTCTTTTGGCATTTATTGGAAAAACAAGGTACAAAAGTGCAGGATATAAAACAAGCTATGTACATTAGCTAAACAGATCTAGCTAACTCAGTGAGTCAGGCGCTTCCGAGTTGTGATCCGCTCTACCTTGGCTGCTGAATAGGCCTAGGGCTCACTTTCACGTTCACGATCTTCGGCACCTTCTTCCCATACCTTGGGATTTCAGCAGCAACACGTGATTTATTCCATTTCAACATCCCCAAAGTGATCAACTCCTTCTTATTCTCCTCTTCTAATCAAAACTAAATAAATTACTTATAATTATTAAAATTAGTAAAGAAAAAACTGTATTAATAAATGATGATATACTTACGCTTGAAATCGTTGGAGATAAAATCGATACCAGGGAGAAAAGGAACATAGGTAGCGTCATCAGTAGAGTCGGGTTCGGAGAAGCATTCACGAAGCCAGTAATGGCGGAACCAGGGAGAAGAGTGAACGAGGTCCCACCACTGGTCCGAAAAGTCCTCCACTTCACGATATTCGGTAGGAATGAAAATTGGAGCGTTAGGATTCAGGGTTGAAGTCGCCATTGTTGATACACAAAACCAAAAGTCGGGTTCCGCAATATATAATATGCTTTGGTTTGTGGGTTGTGCGCACTTGGTTTCCACTGCCCACTTATTTAGCAAGATTAGATGGGATAACCCATTAATTATAATTCCTTCCGTCCGCTTTAATTATTTTTTTCTTATGATTTATAATATTTGATTTTTTTAACTATTAAGAAGAAATTAATTTTTTTTCTAAAATTGTCCTTGAAATAAAGTATCTATAAATGTTTGTTATATTTTTGATGAATAAATTAAAAAATTAATATAATTATTTTTATTATTAATTAATGTTAAAAGGTGAATTCTTAATATATATATATATATAATTAAAAAATCAATTAAAATATACCGGTGGGAGTACCTATTTTTCCGTTTTCTTTTCGTTACCAAAAATAGAGCTGCTATTTCTTTTCTGTTCAATAATAACTGTATATTGCGTTATTAAAAGTAAAACCAATAGAGAGGAGGCACATACAGCGTATAATCTAATGCAACGTGACACAGCACGTGAATCTAGTTTCAATCCATTGCGTATTTGCCTTACACGTCATTGTTATTATCCAATTCACTGACTTTGCCTGCCAAATTGGACCTTATAGGGCGTTACATCCAAGAAATGAAATAAAATTTCGAAGGCTTCTCGTAACTCTCATCTGGGCTATTGGTTCAGATGAGAACTCAGCGACTCCACTGGACTAGTATTGGGCTGTCCAAAGTGTTAATGCTTAACGCACAAATAAGACACTTCGGTGTCATTATTATATTTTTTTTTTACTGAAATTTTCATAAAGCATTAATTTTTAGTTGTAATTAGTTATCTATAGATACTATTTGCTATATTACGGATTATAGATACCTTTTATGTGGTTATAAGATGTATTTGATGTATTTAAGCTATTGTATTCATAAATACATTAGCGAAAATAGGCGTGGATCAGGGAAGTCCAGCTAATCAGTATTCGAGTGTATTCGACTGTATTCATGGAGTGAAACATGGGATTACAGCTGAACAAATTATTATATTCGACTGTATTCACGGCGTGAAATAGGGGATTACACTGTTTTCATAAGGGAAAAGTGAATCAATTAACATAATAGACTCCTAATATAACTCAACAAACTCAATTATAACACACAAATTTTGTATTTTCAGTTATAAAAAGGATTCTCAACCGAAAAATACCCCAAAAACATAGCAATCTTCAGAGAAATTATATAATACATCTGAATACATAAATTATATTAATTACAAAAATATATGAATACATTCTTGGCATATAGCGAGACAGTGAATACAATGAAATACATAGAATATAACGGGATACATTGAAATACAATGGGAAAAAAAACAGTGAATACAATGAAATACATGGAATACAACGAGATACATTGAATTACAATGAAAAAAAGACAATGAATACATGAAAATATATTGAAATACATTAACAGAAAATCAAGTTGCTCAGCCCCAAATTTCGCTGTCTTTGTTCAAGAACAAACCCTAATTCCCGGCGAATCCGCCGTAACGACGTTTGAAGGTACAATAAGCGACACCTTTGAGATTTGAAGGTACAACATGCGACACCTTTTTTTATTACCTGCTACCGCGTTGACTACCTTTCCCTTCGACACTTTTAACTGCTACCGCCACAGTGACTGTCGTCGTCGTCGATGGCGGAGAACCACCAGTATCTCCGTCAACGTTCACTTTCATTTCGGAACAGAGAAGGAATACGCTATTACGTGATCAACCAAAAGAGTGAGAAGAAAACTCCCTTTCCCAAATCAGTTTGTTTTGGGGAAGTTCAAAGGTTGGTTAATTCCCTTTTCCAAATCTGTCAAAGTTCTCCTATTACAATGGAGGATATCGACCGAGGGTAATTTTTTTTTAATCAAAACACATACAGTAAGTGGGCTTTGCACAAATCCGGTGGAAAGAGGAGGAGATCGGAAAGTTTAATGGGATGGGGGAAGAGAATGAGATGTATCAAAGTAGAGAGAGAAAGAAAATAGTGTAACTGATTAGCATATTTAGTGGCTTAGGGCTATTAAATATTTTGCTATAAAGTATCTATAGAATATAATTTTTTTAAATGGTATTTATTTAAAATAAATAAGGTGTTAACCTTTGCTATAGGAGGTAAAAATTCTTTTTTTTTAACCTTGCTTGGTTTATAGGCAAAATTTCAAGTTTAATAAGTATCATCCATTGTTTATTTTATGAGTAATATTTTTGATTCTTAACTTTAAAAATTTCCCCACGAACCAAGCCGGAGTCAATAAATCAACATCACTCATTTTCAAGGTTATAGAGTATAATTTTCTGTAATTCAGGTTGTTTGGGCTAGGGCCTTGCGATCACTTTATTGTGAAACGCAGTGGGCCAGTGGCTAAGTTCAGCATTTACTTATTTACTTTGATAGGAGCAATTTTGAAGAAATTCAAAAATAGCCAGATTTATATGTGGCAATTGAAAAATAACCTTTGTTTCAAAAGTAATCGAATTTTAGTTATTTTTTACGTAAAGATAAATCTGAACGAAAACATTGTTCAAAATCCGAAAAATATCCCAGCATACTATACTAGAGTTCCAGCATAATATACTGGACTTCCAGCATAATATGCTGGAAGTTCATATATAGGTGCTCAAATCTCCAGTATATTATGCTGGAACTTTCCGTGTGTTGGAGTTCCAGCATAATATGCTGGAAGTTCATACACAAGTGCACTAATCTCCAGTATATTATGCTGGAACTTTCCGTGTTGCAGTAAAATAGTGGCTATTTTTGAATGACTTTGTAAATGTTGGCTATTTTTTAATTACCCGTCCGAAAACTAACTAATTCGTTTTCCCAACTTGGCTATGGGATGGATCTTCTTATAAGATTAGTTCGATAACATTACAGCCTACAGGCAAAGGATACATGAAAATTTCAACTTTTCAGAAATGTTCCGTTTATGATTTCAAATTTATGTGACATGATATTAAAAGGGGACGATTGGAATACTAAGGGTAGAGCGATAAATCGCCACATATTATAACAAGTCATTAGTCATTTGACTATTTTTGAGTTTCTTGATTGTTCGCGGATAAAAATTTATACTCAGTCAATGAAGTTTTCATCTATGTAATCCACACGATGAAAATCTAAAGTTTCTTTTTATAGCCGAAGTATCCCATAAATTATATATGTTAATTTTTCTTTTCTTTTTTGCTAATGTGAAGCCATTTATTTAAAACGAGAATTTAAAAAGTTAATATTTCATGATCTTCATAGTCACTAGCTCACACCGTTTTTCTGTTTACTATCTATCTATATCTAGTCGTTCAATTACGGAAGCTATACACCTTGTTAGGCGATTGGTGGAACTGTACAGAGAAAGAAGGATCTGCACATGGTGTTTATTGACCTAGAGAAAGCGTATGACAAGGTTCCTAGAGAAGTTCTCTGGAGATGCTTGAAGGCAAAAGGTGTGTCGGTTCCTTACATTATGGCGATTAAGGACATGTATGCTGGGGCAAAGACTCGAGTTAGGACAGTAGGAGGCGATTCTGATCATTTTCCGGTTGAAATGGGATTACACCAAGGTTCTTCCCTCAGTCCGTTTTTGTTCGCCCTGGTGCTGGACGCGTTAGCACACCATATTCAAAGGGAGGTGCCATGGTGCATGCTATTCGCCGATGACATAGTTCTGATTGATGAGTCGCGAGCAGGTGTTAACGATAGGCTGGAGGTTTGGAGACAGACTCTTGAGTCTAAGGGTTTCAAGCTGAGCAGGACGAAGATGGAATACCTGGAGTGTAAGTTCAGCACTGAGCCGGGCGAAGTGAACGTGGATGTGAGGCTTGAATCATAGGTCATCCCAAGTAGAGGCAGCTTCAAGTACCTTGAGTCGGCTATCCAGGGGGGAGGGGAGATCGATGAGGATGTTACACATCGTATTGGTGTAGGATGGATGAAGTGGAGGTTAGCATCTGGAGTCTTGTGTGATAAGAGAGTACCACCGTTACTCAAAGGTAAGTTCTATAAAGCGGTTGTTAGACCGGCCATGATGTATGGGGCTGAATGTTGGCCAATAAAGAACTCACATATCTAGAAGATGAAAGTAGCATAAATGAGGATGCTGAGGTGGATGTGCGGGCACACTAGGATGGATAAGATTAGGAATGATGATATTCGGGAGAAGGTGCATGTGTCTCCCATTGATGACAAGATGCGGGAAGCGAGACTCAAATGGTTCGGGCATATCCAGAGGAGAAGTCCAGATGCACCGGTAGGAGATGTGAGAAGCTGGTTGTGGAGGGCACGAAAAGAGGTAGAAGGCGGCCTAAGAAGTATTGGGGAGAGGTGATCAGGCAGGATATGGCGAGGCTTCAGATTTCCGAGGACATGACACTGGATAGAAAGATGTGGAGGTCGAGTATTAGGGTTGTAGGTTAGGAGGTAGTTTGACTCTTTCCTTTCTTTGTACCATTGCGAGACCAGTCTGGTAGAATTTTTGTCTAAGATAGTTAGTGGCAATGTTGTGTCTTACTATTTCACTTTTCAGCACAGGAACTATTTACTAGCTATCGCTTTTGCTTTGCATCTTTCTTCTGAATTTTATATTGTTCCTGTTTTTCATATGATATCTTTGCTGATACTAATATTGTCTCCTTTTGTCTTTTTGTTTTTTTGAGCCGAGAGTCTTTCGGAAATAGCCTGTCTACTCCTTCGGGGTAGGGATAAGGCTGCATACACACTACCCTCCCTAGACCCCAGTAGTGGGATTTTACTGGGTTGTTGTTGTTGTTGTTGTATCTATCTATCTATCTATCTATCTATCTATCTACCTATCTATATCTATCTATTCTATATTGTTATAAAAGCATGAATAAAATGTTGGGTTACAAAAATAACTGATCACGCCCAACTATGCCTTATAAAAAGGACAAAGCGATCGCTGCAAATATATTCCGGTTAACAAGTCCGGAGTCGAATCTCACAGGGAATTAGCCAACCGATCACAGCTATTGGGCTCACAGAAATTCACGTATTCAATCTTCAGAGATGTTTGAGTAACAAAAT